GGTGTCTCGCGCTCATCCAGGTTAGAACTCGCGGCTGCCTGGGGGTGCTGCCAATTGCGCAACTGTATTATTGCGAAAGCCTTACGGCCGGTGCCGCCAACCTTGAGAACGACGAAGATGAAAACGAGGGGGGGGGCATGGGGGAGGAGGATGAGTGGGAGGTGGAGGAAGGGTGGAGGAGGTGGATGAGGGAGGAGGAGGGGGGAAGGATGTGGAGGAGAAGCAAGAGGAGGAGAAGGAGGCAGAGGAGAGCAGGAGGAGGGGGAGCAGAGGGGGGGAGAGGAGGAGGAGGAGGAGGAGGAGGAGGAGGAGGAGGAGGAGGAGGAGGAGGAGGAGGAGGAGGAGGAGGAGGAGGAGAGGAGGCCAGAGGCTTTCTTGGGACAGCCTGGGGCTCTCTTGGAGGCCGTCTTGGGCCGTCCAGGGCTCCTCACATCGAGGCTGGACCTCGCGGCTCTATGGTGGGCTTCCAACTGAGGAATTGTCGCCTTTTTCGTGGGCTTTGACAGGTTCAGCGGAGTGGTGTCTCGCGCACATCCAGGTTAGACCTCACGGCTCCCTGGGGGTGCTGCCAACTGCGCAACTGTATGATGTTTTGGTTTGGCGGTCTTATTGATCGTCGCCATGCGTTTAGAAACAGTTTGGCACGTCTCCGGTACCTCTTTTATTGTCTTCTCTCTCTCTGCCCCACTCTCTCGACTAAAGTCGCCCCCGCGTCTCGGGTCCGACTGGTCCGCTTGGTCCAGTCCAGTTGGTCCCACAGCACTGGGAGTTTACGAACCTGCCCTCGATCCCTTCCCTGGGTGCGTGTACTACATGCTTCGCTCGTCGGGGTGCTTGCCATGAGGGTGGTTTTTCTACCCTGCGCAGACAATCGTTTCAAGACGGCCGGAGAAGGCCTCGGAGGGGGACACCTAGATAGACGGGACTCGGCATCAATTGCCCTCGCCCTTTTGGGGGAGGGGGGGTTCTACGCCCAACTTGTCCTCGCCGGTTTTGGGCTGCGGGTCGCCGAGGACCGTCTCTTGTGAATCTGACATCTTGGGACATGTCAAAGAGGCTTCACGGCCTGTGCCGCCGAGTCGGGTGCAGCTCGGGCCCGCCTCTGCGGGACGCTTCGCGCCGCTCTGCAGGAGGAGGCGCAGAAGTGGGGGGAGGTTCGCCACAAAAATAGCACAAGCACCCTCCAACGGATTGCTCCTGGGACTTAGGGGAGGTGGGCGGTTATAAAATCACCACTGCGAGCCAGCGACTTTATACACCGCCGCCCTCCCTCAAGGTGCATGCAAGATTTATCGGAGGTCGTCTGTGTACATATATATATATACACCGATAGGACTACCCTACGGGTGATAAGGAGGTTGGGGGGAAGGGGGAGGCGGTCGATTTGCGATGGCTCTGGGCTCTTTGGTGGTTTCTCCAACTTCCTTATGTCGCGCACATCTGCCCATCTGTCTATCGACCTATCTATCCAATTACGTAGCACCCCGCAGATGCGGATAAGAGTGAGGGGGTTGTGGGGACGTCGGCAGTTTGCGAGACTGGAGAAGCCCGCCGCAGGCGCCACAGTTTCACAAATTGTACAACGAGCCCGCCGCAGGCGCCGATTTTTTCGTTAAAACAATGTGGGTAGGTCGCAAATGGGTCGCGGGTGAGTCGCGGGTGGGTCGCGGGGTGGATCGCGGGTGAGTCGCAAGTGGCTCGTGGGTGGGTCGCGGGTGGGTCGCGGCTTGGCCGCGGGGTGAGTCGCGGGTGGGTCGCGGGTGGGTAGCGTATTGGTCGCGGGTTGGGTCGCGGGGTGAGTCGCGGGTGGTACGACGACAACAAACAACAACAACAACAACAACAACAACAACAACAACCACAACAACAACAACAACAACAACCACAACCACAACCACAACCACAACCACAACCACAACCACAACAACAACAACAACCACAGCAACAACGCAACAAGCAGAATCCTCACCACATATCGTCACTTCAGCCACGCACCCAGGGGCAATGAATGACCGTTTCGCCCCCTCATTCTGATATTTTTCGGACCGCCAGCTATCTATATATCAATATATCTACCTATCTATCTATCTATCTAAATATCTATCTTTATATACATTTATAGCAGCTCATCAGTACTCCAACCAATACGTCAACCAATCAATGCATACATATATACACATATGCACACGCGCATCTGTCTATCTCATTCATATAGTTGTACATGTATATCGATGTCTCTCGACATATATATTTATATAACTGTAAATATGTTTTTGCATCCATGTATATATATATATATGTATATGTGTCGCTACATGTGTATATATAGGTCGAGCAACAATCGGGACAACCACTGGGACAACCATCGAGACAACCATCGGAACAACCATCGGGACAAGACCTGACAACATGTATATATATATATATATATATATATATATATATATATCATCGGGACAACCATCGGGACAACCATCGGGGCAACCATCGTGGCAACCATCGGGACAACCAGCGGGACAACCACAAGCATCGGGACAACCGCCGGGACAACCGGGAGCCTTGCCTGACGCTCGGGGGGGGGGGGGGGGGGGGGGGGCGACGGCCCGTTTGGCAATAGATGGCCCCTACCAGTGCAGGAACTCGCGCAGCTTCGCCTCGCCCGCACGCGCGACACGAACCGAAGCCGCAACCGAGTTCCCGTTTGGTGCCACTTCCGTTCACACCACCCAGCCTCCGATCTAGTTCTTCGTGGCGTCGAGGAGGAGGAGGAGGAGGAAAAGGTGGTGGCCGCGTCTGAAAGACACCAGGGCCGAGAGCGAGCGAGCGAGCGAGGAGGAGGAGGGAGACCGGTCAGAACAAAGTCGGGATGCGCGGGCGATGCCACAGAGCACCTTCCAGTCCCGAGCCTCCTCCCAGTGGAGCCCCCGCGTGCAAGCGTGCCTTGTCGCGGCGGGGGGCGCCCCGCTCGAGGGGCGGGTGGCCCCGTGGGCCTGCCGCTCTGGCGAGGGCCCCGCGCTGTACAAGAGAGGCCTGCCGGCGAGAGCGCGTCGTGCGAGACGCCCCTCCGTCCGTGTGCGTGTCGGGTATGGCCAGGGCCCCGGGTCAGGGGACCCGGCCAGTGGTACGGCCCCGGAGCTCCTCAGCGGGCCAGAGTCACTGAACCAGGTCTGCCGTAGCTGGTGTCTTTCGGGTGACGGCAATTCCGTTTCGTGGAACGGGGCCTGGGGGGCGCCCCCCAGTACACATCACTAAACCAGGTCCCACTGAGCCCAGTTCTGCCAACGCCCTAACATGGTTCGCGGTGTTTATCCCGAAGGGCTTGTCGACGTTTCGCCAATCGGCTTGTGGGGATCGGGCCAGACAAATCCAGGTACGTGGCCAGTAAATCGAGGTAAATCCAGGTGGATCCAGGCAGATCGAGATGAATCCGGGTAGATCCGGGCAGATGCAGAGATCTCCAGGGAAAGTTGGAACTTTTCGCCGCCGCTCCAGCGCGAGTCGAAGGATGGCAGAAATCGTTAAGCCTTTGACGGGTTTGTCCCTTTTTCGGCCGCGCCTCTCCTTCCTCCTCCTGCTTGGTGGCACGATTCGCTTTTACGGCATCCCCGCTTGGGCTTTCCATCGCCAGCGCAGACGTCCCCTGCCTAGCCGCTGACGCTAGGTGCTCCACCGTGCTTCTGTGCGTGAGTTGGAAAAGATATCGTGGAGCCTCAAGCGGCAGCCCCAGTGTGCTTTGTTCCTGGTGATGTTGGGAACTAGAAGGCGAATGTTCGCGGCGCCACTGCGATAGCCGCGTTGCGAAACCGATCTACCGTCCTTCCGTGTCCTTATGGGAAGTGTTTAGGCGAAAGCGCGCGGCGTTGGAGTGGCAGCCAGGTTTGAAAACGGACCACCCTCCATCTTTGTCGCCACACGAACAGGCGGCGGATCAGGACAAGTGGTGACGTCTCAGGCGAAGAACCCAGGCTGGCGGTGCGACGAGGAGGAGCCGTTAACAAGGAAGAGAACGGATGCACATTGGAATATGGTCGATGCCGGCACGAGCTTCATGTGATCGTTGTCCCAGTCAGCCTGAAATCGCCTGGGTGTCCTCCATGGTTTTGCCCAGGTTCAGGCGGTATCGAGGCCTTCGGGACGGAGAGGATTTGTGTCCGAGCCTCCTGGTAGGCTCTCTCCGAATTTTTCTGTGGGCTCTTTGGGCCGGTCGGGGGAGGAGCCTTTGGTTGGGAGTGTTGTCGCCGTGAGGGACGGTCTGGGGGCTGGCCTATAAAGCCTTGGTCAAGCGACACGTCCCATGTCCTCTGTCGCCCCATGCTTTTCCCCTTTACTTTCGTGGGCAGAAAACTATCCGTATCCGCGGCCTCTCGGGCCTGGCCTTGGCACCGCGGCCCCGTGGATGCGGGGCGTTCTTCCGTGGATGCCCCGCGCGGAGCCATCCATGCGACCGCGCATCCACGGCGACCTCGCCCTGGAATCCAGACCGCGAGGGAGTGGAGATGGACACGTTCGCCGCTCGCGATCCTGCCTCGCCTGCTCCCCCCGCCCCTCTCCTCCTCCTGCTCGGGACCTGGGCAGGTCTGGGGCCTGCGGCCTCCCCTGGTGCCCGGGGCCCCTTGGCTTCCAGGATTTTTTCGAGCCACCCCCCAGGGCCCAACGGAGCCGCGGCCCCACAGCCCATGCCCCACGAGCCCTTGCCTCCCAGGAGGATGAGGAGTGGTGGGATGGGGACGGGCGAGGGGGGGTGATGGTGATGATGGTGGTGGTTCTGGTGTTGGTGATGTTGATGAGGAGAAGGAGAATGGGGCAGGAGGAGGTGGCTGGACAAGGAGCATCGAGATACAGTAGCCTCACAAAGCCGCGCCAAATCGGCAGGCACATCATGATCATTTCTTATGTCCGATGGGCCCACCGAGCCAGAGTCTGTTCAGAGTCTACGAAGGCCGTGCCCCTACATTTCTCACGGCAGCATCTCTTAGCATAAGTGCCTGCTGCAAGCCAAGGTCGAGGTGACCGGGATTCACGCGTTCGGCAGCCTGTTCCGTGCGTACGGCCAAGTCGGCGATTTGGAGGGGCTCTGGAAGGATTTAGCCCGCCCCCCTCGGGAAGAGATGGAGTTGCAGGAACGAGGAGTGACGAGTGAGTAGCGAAGAAGAGGAGCAGCAGCGGCATCGGACGGGAGGAGAATATTGAGCAGAGGGGGAAAGGGGTTCTGAGGGAAACGGGTCATGGACCCCGGGGCGTTCCCCCAGGACCAGTTTTTCATCCTGAGTCGTTTCTGACAGTCCCCAGGCCCATGGAGAGCCCCGAGCCCCTGAAGACAGCGAACAACCCAAGGACCCGTTTCCCTCAGGGTCCGCTTCCCCCATGGCGAAACATTTAGGAGGATGGTCAGGGGGGACAAGCTTCTACCCCTCGACATCTGCCGCTTCCACGCCGGGGAGGCCAGCGGAAGTCCGCCGAAAGTCGTCGGAAGCCAGCGGAAGTCCTGCCGCAGGGCTGCAGAGAGGCCCAGGACCCGTGCGAGGAACCCAAGAGGATCCACAGACGCGCGGAGAGGCATACCTTAGAATCCCACGAGCCGCAGGTGACCGCTAAAAATGCTTTCAAAACACCCCAAGAGCTCACCATGAGCCCTGCAGAAAGGTAGCAAGCTGCATTCAAGAGAGAGCCGACAATAGCGTATTTCCGTCCTGGTCATGTCGTCCTATCGCCGCACGTTCGGACACTTCCCTCGTATCCATCTTCTCTGTCCCTCCTTACTCTTCCCCTTTAGCTGCTTCGCTAACCTCGTTCTTCCCACCGCCCCCCTCCTTCCCCGATTCCACGCGTGCATTCTTCGCACCCATGCGTCTTGGCATTTTCACTGCTGCTCTGCGATGTTATTGGATGGTTTGTCGCAGTCCCGACTCTGTGATTATATTAATTGCATCGTGCATCCGACCGCTTATGAATCGGTCTACTGCTCGATGGCATTCGAGAAGGAGGAGGATGTAGTGCCTGATGGAGAAGGGGCGCTAGAGTTATACTGATACGGAACTCGTATTCGCTTGTGTTACGTATGTAGTTGTGCGGACAAGCGTGTGTAACATGTTCCCTTTGGTTCGTTGAGTGTTGCCCCTAGCGCGCGTGTAAGTCGCATGTGGCTGAACCATACAGCTTCGTGCCTTGAACATAGCATGCCGATCTTATTGGCAGGTGTAGCTTTTATTTTGGTAACGTCAGCTTGTGATTAACAAATGGCCAGACCCCCCCGGTGCTGATGAATAGACCCCGCGGGGCGCGATACTTTGTCTTTAATCACCCGCGCCAGTTGGGGAGAAGGAGAGAGGAGGGGGAGGGAGGAGAAGGAGGAGAAGGCGGAGGACGAGGAAGAGAAGGAGGAGGAGGAGGAGGAGGAGGAGAAGGAGAAGGAGGAGGAGGATGAGGAGGAGGAGGAGGCCCGAGCGAGGAAGAGAGCGGCCGCTGGAAACGGGCGCAGGCAGGGCGGGGGACGTTGGCGACGACGGCAACAGAGGGGGGGAGGAGGACGTACCCGCTTTGCTCAGGTCGGACGAAAAGCTGGGGACGGAAATGGGGGGTTGATAAGCCTGCTGCGCGCAATTGCTTTCGGTCGCCCCGCCGAAGGGCCAGTCCTCGCCGCATGGCCTCTTTCGGCGCCAGGAGGTGCTTGGAAAATCGGCGACGTGAGCTGCTTGGCAAACCCCCCCTTTGCTGCGCTCCACTTTCGTCCAGCCCGCACTTCCCGCAGGCCCGCATCGGTTCGACTGAAAATCGGGCGCCCTGGCTCGCCCTTGCCTCCCGACCCCCCCCCCTTTGCCTCTCGTTGGCGGCCGGGCGTCGGTGCTAATCACCGGCGCGGCCCCGTTGATTTTCAACCTGGTAGGCGCCACCTCTCGATTCGCCCGAGCAGGGGACGCATGTTTTTAACACGCGCCCCCCACGGATTTGTTAATCACAAGCTGACATTCATCGGGTCGGTCCCAGCCTGCCAAGCCAGGCGCAGTACGAATGTGAATGCCGTCAATAATCGCCTCAGGGTCCTTCGGCTGTTACGTCCCGCTGGCCGCCCGCATTGCGATTCGAGCAGGTATGATGCTATTATTTTGTTTACAAAGGTCGCCACTGCTGCCGCGCCCCTCTGGCCCCTTCCACCCCTGAGCAAACTCCACAGCATGCTCATTCGGGGAGATGACGGAGGTGTAGGAGGAGGGAGGGAGAGGGAAAAGGACGGTGGAAGGAGGGGCGTGAGAAGATAGGAGGGATGAGGGGCCATGGCGCCGCAACAGTCTGCGGAAGTTCCATTCCCGTACCCGCCCGAGCAGGAATGGAAGCATCTGCTTTCCTTGGGAATCATGCCGACGCAAGTCACTTTCGGGTGCATGGTGGAAGCCGTCGCCATGAACGGCGACCCCCACTCGGCGCTCGAGTTGATTCAGGAGGTCGGATATGCGGATGAGGAGGAGGGGGAGGAGGAGGTGGAGGAGGAGGGAGTTGGGGGATGGGGGAAAGGAACGAGGATGAGAAGGAGGGGGGGTCGAGGTTGAGCTGGGAGACGGTGACTAGGAGGACGAGGAGGAGGAAGTGGAGCTCTAGCTAATCCAGCACGTCCCCCTCCAACCACACGTTACATCTCATCCTCGTCTTCGTCTTCTTTGTCCTTATCGTTATACTCGCTCGATGCTTTTTCTATATGTACACACATATCTATATAGATCTCTCGCTCTCTCTTTCTCTCTCTCTCTCTCTCTCTCCCTCTTCCTCTCGCTCTTTCTCTTTGTCTCTCTCTTTATCTCTCTCCCCCTGACCCGCCTCGTCATCCGCGTTCTATCCTTCCCTCCTCATTCCTCCCTCTCCCCCCTTTTTCCGCCTCCCCTCCCTCGGCCCTCGCCTCCTCTTCGAGCTTGCGCCGCCTCATGCTTCCTCTTGCTGCCCACCCCTCTCCTCGTCTGAGCGCTGCCGCCCTCGCCCTCGGACCTCTCTCTCTCTCTCTCTCCTCGGCGAAGCCCCCTCCCGGTGCCCGCGGTCTGCCGGCCAGCGTGCCTGCCGGCCCCGGCCATGGCAGCGCCAAGCGGCGGAGACGTGGTTCGGGGGCGGTGATGAGGAGGGTCTCCTCCTCCTCCTCCTCCTCCTCCTCCTCCTCCTCCTCCTCCTCCTCGGGCACTGCGAGCGAGGGCACGGTGGGACCGCGCCCAGGCCCAGGACGGGACGAGACCCCGATGAGCAGGATTTGGGGGGCGGCCAAGAGGGGGGTGATGACTGGGGGGGGGGGGGACATCATGACGGGGGGGCCATGAGATCTCCCCAGATTTCATGGCGCTCCTTCTGTTTTCATTACGTCTCCTGCCCCCCCCCTTGGCCGCGCACATGGCGCGGGCTATGATTTGCGCCCCCTCTCTTGGACGCCCCCATCTTGGCTGCCCCCGAGTGGTGCTTGCGGAAGGGCCCCGCGCGGCCGCTCCGTCTTTTCCTCTTCGCTCTTTGGCACGCCGGATAATTTGCCGATCGGTGCCCCCGATGAGCCCCACGCTGCTGCAGATCGCCTCTGCCTCGCCGCCGGCGGGTCCTTGAACGAGCTCGGGCACGGGCGGGAGTCTCTGTCGATTTCCAGCATGTTGGAGATGCCGCGGTCTCGGCGCCACCCAGACATGCTTAGCCGTAGCACCCCGCAGTTGCGGATAAGAGTGAGGGGGCGGGCGCGGGGTGGGTCTCGGGCGGGTCGCAGGTGGGTCGCGGGGTGGGCCGCGGAATGGGTCGCACGTGGGTCGCGGGCGGGTCGTTGGCGAGAATGACGACAACGCAACAGCAAGCAGAATCCGCAGGACGGAACGCCACTTCTGCCACGCACCCAGGGGCAATGAATGCCCGTTCGGCCCACTCGCTCTGACTATGTATGATTCGTTTGCCCCGCAAGGGCGACACGAGCGCTCAGACATCTTACGGTATAAGCTCCGTGGTGGACGCGTTCTGGCCATACCGCCAGGGAGAGGATGTACCGAAAGGCTTGTGTATACGTCTTATGTTCGTGTCGGACGTGCGCCGCAAGCATCAGCATTCGACATCCTAAGATAGTAATTGTTGGTATGTCCGCCTGTGTCTCGTGGTCGTTCATTGTTGGAGGTCACGGTGATGATGATGGCCGTGTTGACGATAACAGTGACACTGACAATGACAAACATGATGTTGTTGTTGATGATGTTGATGATGTTGTTGATGATGCTGATGATGATGGAGGTGATGATGATGCTGATGCTGATGCTGATGCTGATGATGATGATGATGATGATGGTGTTCGTCTGCGACCCGTGTTGGGCCCTCGTTAGAGGAAATATTGGTGATGAGCATGTTGTTGATAGAATTGATGATGGTGGTGTTGATGGTGATGGTGTCCGTCTGCGTCCCGTGTTTGGCCCTCGTTGGAGGTAGCATGGGGGATTATCATGTTGTTGATGATGACTGGGGTGATGGTGATGACGATGATCATGATGACGATGATGGTAATGGCGGTGGTGATGGTGATGTTGCTGCTTGTGATGCTGACGATGGTGATGATGGTGATGATGATGATGATGATGTTGTCTGCGTCCCATGTTGGGCCCTCGTTGGAGGTAACAATGGTGATGATCGTGTTTCTGATGATGGTGGTGATTATGATGGTGTCCGTCTGCGTCCCGTGTTTGGCCCTCGTTGGAGGTATATACCAATGGTGATGATCATGTTGTTGATGATGGTGATGATGGTGGTGATTCGAATGGTCGTGTTGATGATGATGTTGATGATGATGATGGTATTGAGGATGATGGTGGTGATGATGATGCTGTCTGTCTGCGTCCCGTGTTTGGCCCTCGTTGGAGGTAACAATGGTGATCATCATGTTGTAGATGAGGATGGTTGTGCTGATAATGACGATGATCGTGATGACGATGATGCTGATGATGATGATGGTGGTGGTGATGATGATGGTACTTATGATGATGACGATGATGATGATGATGACGGTGAGGATGAGGATGAGGATGTCCGTCGGCGTCCCGTGTTGGGCTTTCGTTTGAGGTAACAATGATGAGATTGATGATTGCGATGCTGGTGATGATGATGACGATGATGATGATGATGATAATGATGATGATGATGATGATGATGATGATGATGATGATGATGATGATGATGATGATGATGATGCTGATGATGATGATGATGATGCTACTGATACTGATACTGCTACTGATACTGATACTGATACTGATACTGATGATTATGGTGATGATGGTGATGATGGTGATGATGGTGATGATGAGGATGGTTGGAGAATGGAGCAGTGAATGTTACTCAATGCAGAGTGGTGCATATCTCCCCTCCTCAGTTTTTCTGTAATGCTGACGCCTCTGCCGCTACACCGAGACGTCCACGCCGCTTGTGGGTGCTCGGCTGGGCTGCGACTGCCTTGTCCCTGGTCTGTCTCTGCGGCGACGCCGCCCCGAAGGCCCCGTCGGGGCGCGAGGCGGTGACGCCCCTGGGCCTCGCAGCGCCCGCTGGCCTCGGAGGCGCCTGCGCCACCCTGAGGCGAGCGGGGCTGTGGCCGTGGTGCTGCAGTCGCCGCGGGGGGTCGACGAGCTCGAGCGCCGTCGCGCCCAGCTGGCCGCGATGGAGCGAGCCAAGCTAGAGTCGGCCGCTGCCACCGCTGCAGGCGACGCGCCCCCTGCGGCGGCGCCTGGCGGAGACGTGTGGGCGGGCTGGGGCTGCCCCCCCCCCCCCCGCCGTTCGCGGTCGGCCCACCCGCGCCTGGTGCCCCGGGTTGCTGGGGCCTGAGCCCCGTGGGGGCAGCCGACGGCGGGCGGGCCGCCTTCCACGCCTTCAGCGCGGGTGCTGGGCTACCAGGGCCCATCTCGGCCAGCCAGGGCGGGGCGCTCGCCGCATGCGCGGCCGCCGCGCCCGCCGCCACCGGGGCAGGCGCCCGAGGCAGAGCCAGGGCCGGACGTCACGTTCGCCCTCGGGTCCTGCAGCGCCGACGGGAGCTGCTGCTTGTGCTGGCTCGATCAAGGCGGAGCTGGAGACGCTCGCGGCCACCAGCGGCAGAGATCCGTGGTGGGGCATGAAATTTTGGTAGCGAGTCCACCAGCGCGACCTGGTGGGCCTGCTGGATCCTGGGGTGAAGGCAGCGCTGGTGGCCAGGGGCTTCGCTGGAGAGCACTCCTCTGGAGCCCCGGACGTCGACAGTATCAAGACAGTGCTGCGCGGCTTCGAGGCGACGAGTGGGCAGTTCACGGGGGGCTTCGTCGGCACGGGCCTGGCCGATTCGACGTCCGTCGAGGGCTGGGCGCACAGCCTCCCGCCCGACTTTAGGCGGGCCGCGGGCGAGATCTACAGGAACATCAGGGCGTCGGGCTCGACCTACGTGCGCAACTGGCTGACTCAGCAGCACGTGGGGTCCAAACGCGGCGAGGACTGGCAGTCCCTCTGGGCGACGGCCACGTCGGTCGATTTCGTGTTGGGGGACTGCAGCGATGACGTCAGACATTACGCGGAGCTGAATTCCGACGACGACCAGGTCGAGGTCGCGCTGAGGCAGACCACGAAACGCTGTACTGGGCGGGGGAGACGCATGCGGACGGTACCATTGGGGCCGTCGGTGGAGCTACATATGAGGCCACGAAACGCTGTACTGGGTTGGGGGGATGCATACGCGCGGTAGCGCTGGTGCCTACGGTGGAGCTCCTTATGGGGCCACGAAGCGCTGTATTGGGTGGGAATACGCATGCGGAGCCTCCTTATAGGGCCACGAAATGCTGTACTGGGCAAGGAGGACGCGTGCGGGCGGCAACACTGGGACCTTCGGTGGAGTTTCCTATGGGGCCACGAAAGGCTGTACTGGGTGGTGGGGACGCATGTGGGCGGTAGCACTGGGACCTTCGGTGAAGCTCTTCAAAACGAGGACCGAACACCACAGGATGGTTGGGACAGAAATGCGCAAGCACAATTGTTCGGAGGTCAGCGCGGATCTACTGGTTCCGCGCCGTGTTTTGTTTGTCCATCTGCTGCATCTACAGAGAAGGCGTTAAGCTAGTGACCAGTTTGGGCTCGAGAGGGGCCTCTGCTTTCGGCCGCTTCTCAGGTCCAGGTTACGGAACCTATGCTCGGACAAGGCTCGCCGTGGCCAGGAAAGCCGTTGAGTCTTTCATTCCATACTCCGCACGGTAGCGCAACGGTTGTGCGTATGCGGGCTTTGTTCCGCCCTCCTGTTCCTCCAGGCTCACACATACACAGTATCTCTCTCTACACATATATATATATATATGACACACAAACACACGCACACACGCTGCTCGGCTCTTGTTGTCGTTGTTTGGACTTGCCTCCAACGCGCCCGAATCTTAAAATGCGGCTGGTGCTTCCCTTCGCCATTATTCATGATCTTTCTCGCTTCTCCTGTGTCCTCTCCCTGCTCTCCTCGCCTATTCCTCCTCCCCACCTTCCTCCGCCCCTCCGCCACTTCTACATCTCCTTTTCCTCGTCCTCCCCCTCCCCCTCCTTCCTTCCCACCCCACTTACTCCCACCCGCCTCCTCCACCTGGTTCCTTCATCCTCCTCCTCCACCTCCTCCTCCACCTCCTCCTCCTCCTCTACCTCCTCCTCCTCCCCGTAGTCCTCCAGCCCCCGTCCCTCTTTGCCGCCCTCGCCCCTCCGTCTGCCGAGATGTGGAACGACAGCGCCAGCCGCCACCTCGTGAACGCCGTCGTGTATCCTGGGAGGTTGGCGCCACTCCTGACCAACGGTGGGAGAGAGAGAGAGAGAGGGAGAGAGAGAGAGAGAGAGAGGTGGAGAGAGGGAAAGAGAGAGAGAGAGAGAGCGAGACAAAAAACAAACACAAGAAAAAAGAGAGAGAGAGAGACGGACAGACAGACGACGGACAGAGAGACAGAGATCACACCAGCTCGGCGGAATGTTCGTCCGGACGCGCAGGGTACTGGCGCCCGCCGCGCCCACCTCGTGTGGCGGGAGGTGCCGCTTGAGAAGCAGGGGTAGGGAAATGACCTTCCCCCTTGGCGCGGTGAGGACCCCGACTGGGAAGCAAAACGAACGGGAAGTGGCGACACGGGCGAGGCTGGCCCTTTCTGCACGCTCGCGGACAGAGAGACGCGGGCTGTACACACGCTGTGGCACGCGTGGGAGAGATGGAGAGAAAGGGGAGGGGGGGGGGGCGGGCAACAACAAATCAGGAGCAGGAGGAGGGAGTGAAGGAGCCGGGCGTCTGTGTTGTTGAGGGGAGGAGGGTCTTCTCCCCCTCCTTCCCTCCTCCGTGCCCCCCCATTCCCCACCCCCCCCCTCCTGCTGCCTCCTGGTGGGATTCGGCGAGAAGCTCAAGGAGAAGGAGACACACAGCGAACGCAGGATGCATGAACGATACTGCAGCATGGCCTCTCGCCTCAAGTGCCCTCCACATCAGTCTTCACATCATCGAGAATGTCTTCCTCGTGGTGAGAAGCGTCCCCTTGCAAGACAGGTGGCCCATGGGCATGATGTGCAGGTGGTTGCCCCGTTTTGAGCAGGAGCCGCCCTTCATCTGTTCGGCGATGCCGAGCGCATCGGGGTAGAACCAGAGCGTGCATTGGCGTGTCCAGAGGGCGTTTTCCGGAATAGGCCCCGGCCTCCGTCCTTGCAGCTGTGGCGTAGCTCTGACGGGAAGCCTCGGGGAAGAATTCCATGTCGAGACGGAGCCGCCCTCTCTTTTTTTGCACAGAGGGTGCAGGGGAGGACAAGGATGCGCGTTCGACTCTCGACTGGGTCAGAGGAGGCGGCCACGCCCCTTCTCTCCCTCCCCCTCCTCCTGCTGCCCACTCCCTTCCCACCATCGCTCCCTCCTCTTGGCCAGCGTCTGCCTGCCCCCCCCTCCCCTTCCCGCCTCCCCTTCTCATCCCTTCTCCCCCCCCCCCCCCCTTCTCCCCTTCCCGATCCTCCTCACGATCCTCTTGCCAGGAAGGCGTGGGCCGGTCTGGCCCTCAGACGGCGGGGCCTCGGCGGACTCCTCGGTCATCAAGAGCTGCTCGCAGCAGAAGGAGTTCGCCCGTGTGTGGGAGATCTACGAGGAGATGAGGTCGCGGAGGCCACCGCCTCCTTTTCGGTGGGGGCGAGGGAACAGAAGGAGGAGGAGGAGGAGGAGAAAGAAGAGGGGGAGGAGGAGGAGGAGGAGGAGGAGGAGGAGGAGGGGAGGAGACGGAGGAGGCGGAGGAGGAGCACGATTTCGATGTGTTATTGCCTTTGGTGGCCTCCGGCGGTGTCCTCGTCGCCTGGACGCGCTCCAGGAGAGTCTTGAGGGTCGATGTTGGGGCGGAGAGGGAGGAGGAGGAGGAGGAGGAGGAGGAGGAGGAGGAGGAGGAGGAGGACCAGGATCAGGAGGAGGAGGAGGAGGAAACGGAGCATGGCCAAAGAGGGTTCTGGTGGCGGGGGTCAAGTGTCTTGGGCGTCTGGAGGTGGATGCATGGACTCCCAGGTCCGAGGGGGGATGACGAGGTCGCAGACGCCACCGCCTCCTGCTCCTCCTGCCCATCCAGAGGAGGGTGGCGACGACTTCGACTACGACAACAACGACGAGGAAGGACGGGGCGGAGGTTGGAAGGACAAAGGGTAGGAGCAGGAGGATGTGGAATGGAGAAGGAGGAGGAGGAGAAGGAACAAGAGGAGCAGGAGGAGGACCGTGAAGGGCGTGGGGAGATTCGGAGGCGACGAGCAGGATGAGGAGTACGAGGACGTGGACGAGGACAATGAGGAGGTGATGTGAACGAAATGCACGAGATGATAGAATCCATGATTAGTCGAGGCCATCTCATATCAGCTCGCTTTTGCAGAGACTATCCGAGCCTTACACAAATTGCACCAAAAGTCGACCAAGAAGGAGGGAGATGAGTTAGAGAGCGGGAGGTGGGTGAAAGCAGAACGAGAGAGGGAGAGGACGGAGAGAGGGAGAGAGAGAGAGAGAGAGAGAGAGAGCCAGAGCTAGAGAGAGAGGGAGAGAGAGAGAGAGAGAGAAACGGACGCTAAGAGCATGACAGATATTGAACACACATTTGTATATACAAATATATTCAAGTGCAGGGAGAGAAGTTGGGGCACGCGAACACATGTGTGTACAGAGTGAGGGGTAGACATGGCACTACAGATACATTATACATTGTTTGCCTGCGCGGAGTTCATACAGTGAGTTAGTGTACTTTGGGTATATAAGCTATGTGGTGTAACCGATGTGGTGCAATTCACTTACCCCGCTCGTGAGTTATCAACCCCCCTGATCGAACAATTACCTCACCCTCCCGCCCGCAACTGATTTTTCAGCGTTCATGCGGCCACGATTGCGGTTGCCGATTGGCATCTGCTGGAGCGTCTGTGCGGCCGCGCTGGCGCACGAACGCTGAGGTTGTGTTGACGTGCGGGCCCTTCAGGGCGGGTCGATGGCTCCGGCGGGCGCGGTATCATGCTGACGCCGGCAGCGGCGGCAACGATGATGACAGCAGCGGTGGTGGTGGCGATGAAGGCCACGACGACAACAAGGGTCATGACGGCGCCGGTGCTGGTGACGACGATGGCGATTATGCTGTCCATGTGGCGGTCATGGTGGTGGCAATGGCGGCGACTGGCGGCTATCATGCTGGCGGTGGTGCGATGAAACTGATGTGGGCGACAGTGGGGAAGAGCGCGCGTGCAGAATTTCCAGGAGTTCGACAAATTTGTACTGAATCGCTTATTTTTGTCCATCTGTAGTTGGAGAGTTCTATTTTGAATCGGTTCCAAGCGCTCACGGGTTGGAGCATATTTCGGCACGCGAGCATGGAGAGAGTGTGTGTGTGTGTGATCAAGAGGATTTGATATGATACGGGCTCACGCGCTGGGCCCATGCTACATCACCGCAGGCGCACCGCGTGGTGAAATGAGAACGCGGGTCCTGAATGATTGTACAAAGACCATGTGATTGTATGTGGTGTCAGCAAGTGCCCGCGGGCAGAGCATCTCTAAAGTTATGGGGGGCAAACTTACGGTGTTTGGGTGGTTCTATGTTGAAGTTCGTGCAACCCTTTTGTGGTGTAGCGTGGTTTCGACATGGTCGCGGGCCTGCTGACTGCGTGGGGTCGGCTCACAAGGGATTTCTCGCAACATGGTCTTAGGCGGGCGCATGAAAGGGGGCGGGGCGAATATGGCCTTGCTGAGGCTGTATCACTTCATTTGCAACGTGAGTGATGGGATAAAACCGTGTGTACTTCGCAGTGTTCCAACAGGGGTCGAGTTTGCTCCTCCGTTGGAAGGGGAATTATTTTATGCCTTTAACGAGTTGCCAACTCCACTGTTCCCGCACGCATCCCACCCACCTGCAATTTGTTTTGCAAAACCCATGCGGCTGCGATTGCGGTGAGTGCTTTGCACTGGGTGGCGCATCCCTGCGGCCACGCTGGCGCGCACAAACTTGCGTGCAGAATGGTCAGCTGGGCCGGTACAAATGACGCGGCCGCCACACCGCGCGTCTCAAAGGCGGCGGTGTCGTGTGAGCCCTTCAATGCGCGTCGGTGGCTCAGGTGGGCGTGGTATCATGATGACGTCGACAACGGCGGCAACGATGATGATGGTAGCGATGGTGATGGCGATGACGACGATGTCGACGTCAAGGCCGATGGCGAAGATGACGTCAATGTTTCAATGATGAAGATGCGTGACTCATGATGGCGGCAACGGCGGCGACAGCGGTGATGCGATTGTGTTGGAAAGGGTGGTGTTGAGCAAGTGCGCGTGCGCGCAGAAGTTCCAGACATCTGACAGGTGTCAATTGACAAGGATCTGATTGCTCATGTGATTTTGAACAGTACTGCCTTGACTTGAAGCATTTCGACATGCGTGCGCGGCGGCGCGGGCGTGTGGCCCGCATGGTATGATTTGCTCTGGGTTCGTGCACCGGTCGCATGCCAGAACAGCACAAATGCGCAGTGTGGAGATATGAGAGTATGGGTTATGCACGAGATAGATAGAAACATTGTTTTTGTTGCATGATCTCAGCAAGTGCGCGCGGGCAGAACATCTGCAATACTGGTGATGCTCACGAGACGGCCACGGGCCAGGCGACACCCACGCACACCCGCCCAGCACAAGGCGCCCGCGAGGCGCCCATGGGTGGGCACCAGGCGAAACCTTCGCACTTCCATCCAACACGGGACGCCCATAAGACGCCCACGTGCGCCCCAGCAAATTCTCGGCACACCCGTCCGTTCTCTGGGGTAAGCGAGTGTATGTCAGCGTGGGCCCCAGGCAGTAAGTTATTGCACAGTGGGTATGCGAGCTATGTGTTGCAAGTTTAGTGTGGTGCAACTCGCGCGGTGCAACTTGTGTGGTGCAAGCTATGTGGTTGGGTATGTGGTGCATTGGGTCGGGCCCAACCCAGCTAAAAGTGGCGTTACCTAGGTGTTATAGATATCATATGGGCGGCCACAGGATGGGCACCAAATCGTCACCAAATAGAGGGCCGTGGTGACATCGCCAGGCTGGTGCGAAGAGGCCCAGATACAAATTGTGTTAGATCAAAAGAGAAAAAGGGAGGAGTGTGATGAAGGAGGAGCAATTGGAGGGGGGAGTGAGAGATGGGGGATGGGGAAAGGACGACGAGGGCAGTGGGCAGGGGTGCACACACCGGGGCAGATGGCGTCGCATGAATCTCGGAAGCACTGTCGAGATGAAATGCCACTCACCGCGCCGTTGGGTCAAGTTCTGTACTGGATTCGCCGGTGTCGGTGCCTGTGGCGTTCCGCTGGTGCCAGGGGTGTCGGGCCGGCAGAAATATTTTTGCCAGCCCCAGCCGGCGGTCACCGCGGATTTTCGCCAACCCTGTAAAAAATGGGGCCGGCAAAAAATCGGTGGCCTTGTTTGGCACCACGCGGGGGGGTGCCGGCAACAATATTTTTGCCAGCCCCTCCCGGCTGGCACCGTGCGGGGGCGGAAACGATGGTGGCGTCCAGGCATCGTTCCTGTTCGGTTGCCCGGGGCTCCGCCTGAGGCCAACCGAGGCATCAGGAGTATCCCAGGGAGTGCTGAAGCATCCGGAACTCAAGGAGTGCATGCTTCAGGCGATCCACAAGTAGAATTGTACGCGCCAGTTCTCGCACAATACCCATGCACGTCCCACTTCTTCCCTCTATCATGGCCCGCGCCTTGGCATGAGCATCTGAAGACCAACGCGCGCCTGGCAACTTATGTTTGGTGACCGTCCAGATCTTGCCAGGCATGCGGTGTCACCGCGCTACCCCCCAAGGTATAGCTGGGTTGGGCCCGACCCAAGTGGTGCACGCTGGTCTAAGCTACATGGTGTACGTTTCGCGGTGCAACGTGCGTGGTGCAAGCTGTTTGGTGCAAGCTATGTGGTGTAAGCTATGCGCTCTAGGGTATGTGGTGTAAGGAATGTGGTGCAAGCTACTCGGTCAAAGCTGTGTAGTGCCATCTATGCTGTCGCCCAGCGCACAAGGCCCGTACGGGCGGCCACGGGTGAGCCTAACGCGAAGCCTCGGCAGACCCACCCAGCGCATGAGGCGCCCACGAGGCACCCTCGAGCGACCACGGGCGGGCACCAGGCCAAACATCGGCAGACCCACCCAGCACGAGGCGCTCACGGGCGCCCGCCAGCCGGGCGTGAGCCGAAACCACAGCAGGCACGCCCAATGTTTGAGCCATCCCAGTAAGAAGCCCTGGCTGCAAGCGTCAGTTTAGGAAGTAGCCGAAGTAAGGAACCCTTCGGGCAAACACTGTTGAGGGATCAATGTGCAGTTGAGGTTGGAGTGCATTTCTCTTTCTCCCTGTGTCTTTACAGTACATATATATACACTCTTTGGCGGGACGAATGATTCGTCGGACATGTGGAGCATCGAACTCACCTGAAGCCGAGGACGGTAACGGCTTGGGGTGCTTCTTGTGAATTGTGACACCATTGGGATAATTGAAGTTGGGATCTGTGAGACAATGGGATAACTATGTTCAACAAAACCAATGGGACCATTTCGGTCTTGGACCTACACTGTATTACTATAGAGGCTCAAGACGGTCAAATTATCCCGCCGATGACAGGTGCCTGGAAAAACA